TACAGAAGTAGAGCTATATTAATATAATTATTCTAAAATATATTGTACTGTAATCAAGACCGTTATTACAGATTAATGGGTAGTTACATGCAAATCATTGTTCGACATTTAATTAAAAATAAATTAGAAATAAATTAAAGAAGTGTAAGGATTGAAAAAGTCCCCTCCCCATGTAATGTTTGTGATGAAAGTACAGGTGGTTCTCACTTAGCAACTTACCTGGACAACGACTACAAGGACCTATGAACAGCTCTCTAGCGCAGGGATTTGAGGAGTTCCCTACGTTAGAGAGCTGATCTATGTTCGGCAAATTTCCCCTAAACATAGATATGAGAGATTCCCTGCTCTAGTAAGCTGTCTATGCTCTGGGAATTCCCCCAAACATAGACCTGCTCTCTAGCGCATACTCACTTACCGACAAATATGTTTTACGACGTAAGGATGGAACCCGGGTGGCAGTTGAGAATCATCTGTATTTTATTGAAGATTACCTTCATTTATGAACTATAGCAAAAACATTAGTGTATGTCTGCCTAATAGATTATCAGGATTATTCATTAAAGTGAATCGAAGGCCAAAGTTTGCAAGCTGAAAGCATCAGTGACTGGGAGAACCTAGACCTAAAATTTGGATTGGATTCTCTGGCTTTCAGACAAGACATGGCTTCACACACTATCTCTCATTACAACTGATTTAAAGATACTAGCTAAAAGGATTGCATTACTTTAATTTTGTCTTAATTAAATTTTCAAAGCAAAATGCTTTTACATTTAATTTTGATGCCACAATCTGATTTTTTTCCCCTTTCATTTCATCTGGAAAATGTAAATGGTCAAATTCATGGTCAGTTTAGCCTTCACCTCATTAGTAAATTAAATTTTCACCCCATTAGGAAATGAAAGCTTAGGAAATAAAAAACAGCTTGAGTAAAGCTTAGATAGATGAGATGGACTTTGAAGATAAAACGCAGTTACTATTTACTAAACCATGAATATTGTGGAGAATTCAGTAGCAGATTGCAAACATTAAACAAAAAAAGGCAAATTTAAAATACAGCAGTGTTTGAAAATGTTTCTAAATCAGCTATATTTATCCATAATACTAGACTGTTTTACTCCCTAGGCAAGACCAGCTACTTGCACACCCCATTCCCCCCAAAAATGAAAATTGCCATCTGATTTTTAAAAACAGATTTGTAGAAAAAATAAAAATCATAAAAACTTAAAACGACTACATTTCATGACATAAGATCACTTCCTCTCAGTGCTGCCACAGAGGGAAAAAGAGGGAACGCATAAAAAAAGCAAAGGTGGGAGGGTGACTTGTTACAGTGTTCTTTTAGAATGGCATTGATTCCAACATTGTGTAAGAATAATAAAAAAATTGCCATAATTAAAAAAACAAAAAGGTATTTCCATGACATCCACACTTTGGGATACATAGACACCATTACAAGTTGAAAATGTCCAATAATTTCCAAGTGACAATGATCTAATAACATAAGCAGACGTAGGGCTCCTTCTCACCTCTTTGGCTGGCTGGCTGCCTGAATCATGTTCAATGATTGGCTGAAGTTCACAGGATACGGCATCATGCAGACTGAGCGAGGTGAACGCGGCTGTCAGCTGGCAGGAGATCTTAACGCTGCCTGCAAGATGCACTGTAGTTGTGCGCAGGCAGTGTTAAGATTCCCTGTCACACTGACCTCACTAGGTCAGCTTCACTCCATCTCCCGCAAACTTCAGCCAAGCTGAACTCTGCTTGCGCAGCGCACAACAGTGCATCTTGGGAGCAGTGTGGTTTATTGGTAAACTGACGCAGCAAAGAGACTGCACCCATGATCATAACTAGGAATCACAGGGCCCTGGTGCAAGAATTAAAGAAGGGCCCCTTTATGCTCTCACTGGTACACATACACTGACATACAGTCAGTGACAGTCATGCGCCATCTTAATAGCATTATGGGCCCCCTGGAAAGCAGTGCACTGGGGCCCAGCCTACACAACAACTCACAGAAATAAAAATGTAAATTATCAATAAAATTAAGCTTATATTTATTGGTACCTTCAACAAATGCAATACATACATACCAACTGCCGAATACACGCACACACCGACTACTGAATACACGCACACAGACTGCTGATTACACACACTGACTGACTGCAGAGTGCACACACACAGACTGCTGGATACACACACTGACTGACTGCTGAGTACAGAAAGACTGCCGAGTACACAGGTGGTTCGGCACTTCCGAAATTCAGGACTTCGGTAATTCGGGACTTCGGCACTTCGGTTTGGTTCGGCACTTCCGAAATTCGGGACTTCTGCAATTTCGGGAATTCTGCACTTTGGTTCGGCACTTCTGAAATTTGGGACTTTGGCAATTTGGAACTTCGGCAATTTGGCACTTTGGGACTTTGGCAATTCCCTAAGCCTAACCCTAACCCAGCCCCTAACCCTAAGCATGTATGTGTGTGTCAGTGAGCACGTCTGTAATAAGCATGTATGTGTATGTCAGTGAGCACGTCTGTAGTAAGCATGTATGTCTGTAGTAAGCATGTATGTGTGTGTCAGTGAACCTGTCTGTAGTAAGAATGTTTATGTCAGTGAGCTTGTAAAGAGCATGTGTGTGTCAGTGAGCATCTGTGTGTCAGTGAGTTTGTCTGTAGCGACATGTGTGTGTCAGTGAGCTTGTCTGTAGTAAGCATCTTTGTGTATACCAGTGAGTTTGTCTGTAGTAAGCTTGTGTGTGTGTGCCAGAGAGTTTGTCTGTACTAAGTTTGTGTGTACCTGTAAGCTTGTCTGTGTTTGTCAATGATCTTGTGTGTATCAGTGAGTTTGCCTGTCTGTGAGCCTGTTTACCAGTGAAGTTGTGTGCTTGTGTCAATGAGTATGCTTATTTTTACTAATATTTATAATTAAAACAATGAACATACCAATAATAAAAGTATGTATTTATATATCCTCTAGTGAGAATGTTAAATATCCCTTTATAACATTTAAAATATGGCTACGTCTTGCTACCCAAGATTGAGTAATTCTAATTCATAAACATAGATTATATATATATATATTTCTGAGGATTCCCCTGTGGCTCGGACTGACGCATCAGGTGCCATAGATTATGCAGCGGTTTTGGTAACAAATGGCTACACGTCTCTTGGCCAATTGAGTCTACCTCACTACTAAATTTCAATACCTCCTCAGCACTATCTGAAATCTACCCAATCGTAGCAGCTACACACATAGGGGGCAATGAGTGGAGAGGGCAGTCGGCCAGATGCTTTTCTTATATCTTGGCGTCATCTAATTTCATTTACAAAGGCCGCTCTCAGTCCCTCTCGATTATGAACTTAGTAAGGAGTCTTACCTGGCTAGCAGAAAATCTTAAATTCTGCATATTGTGTTCACATTCCAGGTATTCAGAATAACGCAGCTGACGCTCTCCCACGCTCTAATTTGCAGGTATTTTCAGAGTTCGTCCATTAGCAAACTCGCAACCCAGGGAGCCTATAAGCTTCACAGTCCTAATTATGCCTTAAAAATACTCTGTTGCTCCATAGTAGGTCGCGCGCACAGGCTGGTTATTCCTTAATTTAGGAAAGCCTATTCCAGAGCGTATGAGTTTAAAGAATTTGTTTGTGATTATTGTTTAATAATGTTTTCTATTTGAAAATATGGTCGCATTTACAACTTTTGCCACTTTTCTCTTAAATTAGTTTACAATACTATCAAACCTTACTTGACAGGCATACTCGTTTATCGATTACTCATAACAAAATGATCCAAACTGGTCCACCAGTAGAGATTAAATATTATCCTACCTCTACCAAATCATGTCCTATCCACGTTTTGGATAATCTATAGGAATCTCAACTCACTTCCATCCCTGATTCCCCACTATTAGCTGTTCAAGGGAAACCCCTAACCACTAAACATTTATGCTTTACATTCGTATGATATCACTCCGACTAGGACTTAACCCACATTCCTTCACGGGCCATTTATTCCTCATTAGAGCAGCCACAGCTGCCTCCGGAAATCACGTACCAACTCACATCATTAAAAAACTATGGGTCGGAGGAAATCATCCACATACAACAGATACATCCCCAATCCTGAGAACGTAATAAGATTGGCTTTCCGTGAAATGTCTAAATAATGAATTGCTTAATAAATGTATCTGATTTTTAAGAATCGCTTCTTATATGTTTGCCCTCTTTTACAGGTCACACCTCAAATGACTTTGTTCTTACTACTTCTGCTTCTTTTATTATAGTTCCATACGTCCTCGAAATGTGCCGTACACAAATAGAAGGCTTGGCCTGTAATTGTGGGAGGCACTATGAACCCTATTTAAACCCAGTGAGCCCCTGTTTACCTGTCGTCGACGATCCCGGAAGTGACCTCCCACCGCACCCTCTATTTATTCTCGTATCAACTAGGTGGGCCCTCTTTTACAGGTCTAACCTCACGTCAGTTTCGGCACACCTCAACTGACTTTGCTCTTACTACTTCTGCTTCTTTTATTATAGTTCCATACGTCCTCGAAATGTGTCGTACACAAATATATATATATATATATATATATATAATTCAAGTAAATGGCTGCACTCACGAAGTAAAAGTCCAAAGTTTAATGACAAATGATTAAAACATCCAAGAACAACGTTTCAGTCCTTGCAGACTTTCATCAGGATCATGATCCTGATGAAAGTCTGCAAGGACTGAAACGTTGATCTTGGATGTTTTAATCATTTGTCATTAAACTTTGGACTTTTACTTCGTGAGTGCAGCCATTTACTTGAATTCCTTGGATATTGAAGCTACTTTTTGGTTGGCACCCGGCTACTAAGGGACATTGGAGCGTGAGTGCAGGAGCAATTTCGTTTTTATATATATATATATATATATATATATATATATAATCTATGGAAAAAAATGTATGCCAGCCCTATAAGTTATTGTGCCACGGTAGTGTTTGTGGGTGTTTGTGTGTGTGTGTGTGTGTGTATATATATATATATATATATATATATATATATATATATATACACATACACACACACACATACACACATACATACACACACACAAACACTACCGTGGCACAGTGACTTATGGGGCTGGCATACATTTTTTTCCAGGGCTGCTTTGCATTCCCAGTCCAGCCCTGCATACAGTCATGGGCATGGACACTGTTTAACCAACACACTTTCACTGACAGATACACACACACACTGACAAACATACACTGTCAGATTAACATTCACTGACATACACACATACAAACAGTTACTGACAGACACACACTGACATGCACACATACTCACAGTCACTGATGGACACACACTGAATGGTAAATTCTGGGAAAATGCTTTAACCCAAAAATTGGAAAATAATGTATGCAGCTGAAGAAAGGAAAATCTGTGAAGTGTTCGCTATAGTAGATGTGATGATGCATATCTGAATGAAACAGATAGTAGGAGGAGAAGGGTGGAATGCCAATTTTTATTTATACCATAATAATTTAATTGAAAATTTAAAGGAATGGATGTATAAAAAATATATAATTATATTGTAAATCACCAACCACTATTCTTCTGCCTGTTTGATATAAGTTATAAAGACAATGCAATATCTACATGAAAAGAGGAAAAGACTGTCAAAATGAGTTACATAGTATATATAATATATTATTCTTTCCTGTGGTACATTGAGAAATATATTTATACATTATAATGTAAGAATTGTGTAGATTTTATAATTAATTGGTTAACTTTTATAATAAATTAAATTACAGTGCCCTCCCACCTGTCAATCAATTTTTTAGCATAGCTCTCTATGACACCAGTAGTGAGTGGCAGTAGAGGGCAGGAGGAACCTTCAACACATGTTTTTCCTGCTCTCTGTCACAGAAGAACATAGAAAATACATTTTGACTGATGTCACTCCATTCTGACTTCACACAAATATGGTCTTTGAAATCAGATAAGAACAAAAAAAAAAAAATCACGCCTGCCTATATTACATGTAAAAATAAATGTTATTAGTTCTTAGGATAGCCTTATGCATTTTTCAGCATTCTAAAATTAATTAGCTCCACCACACTTTCTGAAAAGAAGTGCTGTTGTACATTGACCCTAAAACTGCTAACCTACAACTTGCAAAAATGCTTTCACTTAACTTTATTAATTTCATGAACATATTTGAGAGTTCCTATCACATTATCACTCTCCCTTCTGTCTTGCAAGGCATACATATTGTTGGCGCTATATAAATAATAACATAATAATAATTTATGAAGTCTCTGTTTGCAAGTTTACATTTTTTAACTGTGCACTATTTTAGAATTCATACTTTGAAAAGCCTATAGCTCGTTCACACACTTTTTGAAAGATGGGCTCAAGACCTGTACGCAATATCCCAGATGAGGTTTATCTAGGGCATACGAACCTTACTACTTCTGATACTAATACTGGCACTAATGCAACAAAACATTCATTGTTTATCAAATTTCAAGTCATCTGAAATAATAATTTCCATGTTGCTTTCTCCTTTTATTACCATCGGTGAAGCACCATTATGGTCGATGACCTGGCAATATGTATCTATGTCGTGGAGGTGGATTGCCATGCTCGAGGATGCATTTCTCAGCAGGGAAAATCTGATTAGAAGAAGGATGGGATTAAAAAAGGACCTGGGATTGGGGTTCCTAATGCTGTATCATCCACAGAGCTGCAGAGATGGCTGCCTTGTTGGAGTGGAGGTGGGTTTTCAACTAATTCTCTTAAAAGGATAGATATCATTTATCACTATGGTATAGAGATATTATTAATCATACTGAGCCAGTCACTTTAAATCAATCTCATCCACAGGATCTAACCACTAAGCACTTTCAGATACCCATTGCTTATCTATTATCAGCTACACGTGCCCTAATCAATATCTGCTGCTCAGGCCTGACCTAACCACTAAGAGTGGTTCCAAGCCTAACCACTCATTGCAGTTCAGGTCTAACCACTTTCAATTTTGCACTGCATATCGAATCTCAACCTCTCATCATCATAACCACTCGGAAAGCTTCAGCCTAACCACTATCAACTGGGCAGGATCTAACAACTTACATCTGCTCAGAGTATTTCCACCATCAGCTAGCCAATTTGGCCATTGGTTGTGTATAGTTTACAGTTTCTCATCCCTTATATTTTGGTCCTATAGCAGTACATGTTCTTAGGATTTTTAGCTATATGGTTTACACTACTTACTATGGTTTGAAAACAATGTACCTAGTAAGGTACAGTTCAGACCTTGTAACACCATGTCTGTTATCAGTAACCAGATGTATATACATTATTTAAGCAATGAGTTAAACATAGGGCCTAAACAAGGATCAAGAATGTACAGCAGGTGATCAGACAGGACAGGTAAAAGTGTGTGTGTGTGGGGGGGGAGGGGGGGGGAGCAAAGCAGGTCGCTGGTACCAGAGCAATTGTTATAGAGATAAGAGTAGATTTTGGGTGCTCAGCTCTATGTCTCAAGGACTACACATACTCCTAGATGTCTAGATATCCCTGCTTAAATACAGGCATAGCATAACCTGAATACATACACCTGATTTACTCATGGGTACTTATGCTATCAAGATCTGTATGTGATCCTAAGGCTTGGAGTTGAGCAGGTTAATGGTAGGAGGATAGTAGTGTTGGCACAGCAGGAGGATAGTAAGTTTGGTATGCCAGCTGACTTGTAGTGTTGGCATGGCAGCAAGATAGTAGTGTTGGCATGGCAGCTGTTTATTTGTGTTGGCATGGCAGCAGGATAGTAGTGTTGGCATAGTAGCAGGATAGTAGTGTTGGCACAGCAGGAGGATAGTAATTTTGGCATGCCAGCTGACTTGTAGTGTTGACATGGCAGCAGGATAGTAGTGTTGGCATGGCAGCAGGATAGTAGTGTTGGCATGGCAGCAGTTTATTTGTGTTGGCATGGCAGCAGGATAGTAGTGTTGCCATGGCAGCAGTTTATTTGTGTTGGCATGGCAGCAGGATAGTAGTGTTGGCATAGTGGCAGGATAGTATTTCATAGAGAGGTGCTTGCCTACTAGTATCATTTTAATTAAAACGTGGCGTTTAATATATTGATTTAAACTATTACTATTCGTCAATCAAAAGATAAAGTAGAAAAAATTGATTAGTAGTAAGACTCAAAAGTATAAAACAAAAAATATATAAAGAAAAGAAAAAACTATATAAAATTATCCAAGAACATATAAGATGATAAGTGTTTGTAAAAGAAAAATACAAGTCAGATTAATTAATAATCAATTAGTATATTGTTGGAATTGCAGGCTGAGCCCAGATATAAAAAGCTGCTGTGTTTCTTAAGAGATGCCAGTAAAGCCAAAACTAGTGATCCCAGGAGAATCAAAATATCGAATAGAGTAAATATAACAATGCAATCAATCTGTATGATACAATTGTTGCATTTTTCCTTGAAGAGAACTGCTAGTATATTAAACTCTAAAAGAAGGAACTGGGTTGTCACTAATACCAGCTAAAAAAATAAAATCACTGAGTAGGCAACTAATATCTTAAATGGTGCTTTTCACTGTCGTACTGTAAAATTCTAAGCTGTGCCTTCGAGGGCTACAAGAGTCAGGCCTCAGAGCTCCCGGGTGGGGAGAACAGTGATTATAGCTACGTTAGGAGCAGGTAGGGCAATCCGAACTGCCAGTACCCCAACAGTGTCCCCACCAACCTCAGGAACCCGTTCATGGCTTCCGGGGTGAGGATCCTGCAAGGAAAGTGTCTCCTTTCAGGATACGAATGTCCCCCTGGGTGGCGTTCGCCTATACGAAATGGCGGCCACCGAGGGGAGCACTCATTAATTACTTCCCTTGCGGTTTCACACTTATGAAGCAGGTGTGAACATTCTGATGGATTGGTGTGAACATTCTAATGAAATACCGAGATGGTCCACGTTCAGGAAACAAACAGGTTCCGTTTGCATGAGCGCTCCCAAATGGTCATTTACACGAAATACATAAAAATACACGGGGAAACGTACAATACACAGGGGAAACCGCCCGAACGGGCAGTGGGCATGGTACTCAGCCACGGCGGTCCACAGTCTTTAATAGAGGAAGTATTTTCGATTAATTGGATGTGAGGGGTGGAATACTAAGTGTTATTTACAGATTCAGGGAGCGAGCAATGGCCCTTTTCAAATGTATTGCCATGGAAGCAAAAGATGCAGACAGTAAAACACGGGTTGTATGTGTGGGCATCAGAAGACATAATATAAAACCTAGAAAAACATATTACTATTGTCCTGATGGCAGTCTGGTAGTATGAGCATCCATTTGGAAGATCAGCCACAGATATCCGTCAACATGTCCATGATATACACATCTATGGCCTGGGACACAATTGTGCTATTTTTACTTTCTGCCAAAACACATATGACTTTGTTCATTGACATGAGGACTTTCTGGAGATGAACACGTAGACAAATAAACTCTGGCACTGACTATCATGTTATTGTAGAAAGCCTATACAGTAAAATGTGCAAAAGTACTTTTCTTCATGAACACGTAGCTTCAGATAGTGACTCAGAAATGTACAGCTTTGACAATTAGGTCCCAAGAGAGGGCATAATTCTACTTGGCAGTTTAGTTTCTGAATTCTTTTCTTATAGTTGCTCTATAACAGAGGTGAGCAGGAACATAACTAGAGCAGACTGTTTGAATCCCCTTTAGTGCTTGAAGGCGGAAGACATGAGACTGCCGGAAGTTGCAGGCGAGTAATCAAGCAGATGAGCTGATGCCTTATCTGATCGGAGAGATCAGTGTGTGCATTGATGAAGCAGGAAGCAGGATGTGCACTCGCTTCTCAGTCACTGGTTGATATATGCACCTGTTACCTCAACAATGTTGCTCCCAGCACTTTGTTTTTCACGTACGTAGGCAGAGTGATTACTGAAGACAGCTTATAATCATGCAGGGCAAAAGACACTCAACACAACTTATGACTGATACATGCACATCTTTTGTTAGCTGCTGATGTAGCAGGAT